CCAACAAAATTTGACACAGATACAGGAACTACTCTGGAGTTCCAAAGAGGATGACAAAATCAAAGGAAATTCCTGGGACCTGTTTCTCCCCCAGTGACACGGTTTAGCTCTGTGTCCCCACCCAGATCTCATCGTGAATTGTCCTCCCATAATTCCCGCGAGTTCTGGGAAGGACAAGGTGGGAGATAATTTGAATCATGGGGGCAGTTTCCCCCATACTGTTCTCAAGGTAGTGAATAAGTCTCATGAGATCTGATGGTTTTATCAGGGGCTTCTGCTTTTGCATCTTCTTCATTTTCTCTTGCCACCACCTTGTAAGAAGTGCCTTTCACCTCCCGCCATGATTCTGAGACCTCCCCAGCCATGTAGAACTGTAAGCCCAATTAAACTTCTTTTTCTTCCCAGTCTCGGGTATGTTTTTATCAGCAATGTGAAAATGGACTAATACACCTAGTGAGGAGAGGGGCAGCCTCTCTTGCTGCTTTCTGACAACCAGATGGACCTGGTCTTGGCCACTGTAATGCAGACTGTGCTCAAGCACCCTCAGAGGGCGGTGCAACACTAAACAGAGACACAAACACAAACAGATCCAATGTAGACAGAGCCCTCCAAACAGAGGGGAGACTGCAGCAAAGTCCTGAGGTCCTGTCCCAAACCCAGAGAGCACCACGGAGTGACCTGCATTAGGTCCAGATGGCAGAGACCCAGGCGGCACCACAGACTACCAATACTAGCTCTAGACAGCTAGAGCCCCAGAGGGCAGACGCAGAGGATTTCCAGGTGCACTTCAGTTCACATCCCACATGCTGCTTCCCTCCCATCAGCAGAGGGGAGGGAAGGGAAAATCCCCAAGACAAAGGCAATCTTGGCAGCTACTAGGAATTCCCTAAGGTCCTAGCCCCGGGGTCAGCTGACCATGAGCAGTTGGCATTTGCAAGTGGCTGCTGTCCTGCCTGGTAGCGAGTGTGTAAGCCCTGGGACTGCTATGTCCGATCTCTGCATTCATTGGAAACCAGGCACACAGGCTGAGCCACTTACAACACAGTGCCTCACACAAGGCACCAGATTTGTAAGCTGCTCAAAGACCAAAAACATGAGAAGCGAGGTGTGGTGGAAGGAAAGCAGATTATTTAAAAAACAATGCCAGCAGACGGGACATGGCTGGGCTCAGGCCTCCAAGAGACCCTCTGTCTTCTGGTCTGAGAGGTTTTGGAAGGAAAACTTGGTGTGGGAAACATGTAGGGGTGGTGCAGGAGGATGCAGAAGGGTGCAGGGGGGTGCACAAGGATGTGGGGGGTACAGGGGGATGCAGGGCTGCATATCTTGTTCTGAAGGTGATCTCGAGAAATAGCCTGTCTGAAGGTCCTGTTTCGGCCATCCTGACTTTGGCCCAGTAGTGGTGGGCTCACTGTTCCTAACTCCCCCAGAGCAGTAGGATTCGCATCTGGGTCTCTGAGCCTGGTTTGCTTCAAAATTAGCCCCTGGAAGTTCTTTTTCTTTTTCTTTTTCTTTTTTTGAGATGGAGCCTCCCTGTGTTGCCTAGGCTGGAGTGCAATGGCACAATCTCAGCTCAGTGCAACTTCCGCCTCCTGGGTTGAAGCTCCTGCCTCAGGTTCCAAGTAGCTGGGATTACGGGTCCCACCACCCCGCCTGGCTAATTTTTGTATTTTTAGTTAAGATGGCATTTCACCATGTTGGCCAGGCTGGTCTCGAACTCCTGACCTCGGGCGATCTGCCTGCCTCAGCCTCCCAAAGTGTTGGGATTACAGGAGTGAGCCACAGCACCCAGCCTGTAAATGATTTTTGTTTATTTTTTTTTTTTATTATCAGAGTTGATTCTCTCCTGGATCAGGAAAAAGGCCCAGCAAAGCAAGGAGATGGCCTTCAGAATACAGATTTCCCTCACAATAGACAGCCTTGCAGGACTATTTTAAGATACAGCAAGGAAATATAATTTGGGGTAAAATATTTCAATTTCTTTATCTGTCACATAATGCTCTACTAGAGGCAGGCTGGAATTTGGTATCATTGCTACAAAGAGTCATTTGTCAGCCTTTTTTTTTTTTTTTTTTTGAAATGGAGTCTCGCTCTGTCACCCAGGCCAGAATACAGTGGTGCAATCCTGGCTCACTGCAACCTCCGTCTCCTGGGTTTAAGCGATTCTCCTGCCTCAGCCTCCTGAGTAGCTTGGATTACAGGTGCCCACCACCACGCCCGGCTAATTTTTATATTTTTAGTAGGGACGGGTTTTCATCATGTTGGTCAGGCTGGTCTTGAACTCCTGACCTCAAGTGATCCACCCGCCTCGGCCTCCCAAAGTGATGGGATTACAGGCATGAGCCACTGGCCTGGCCTGGCTTTGTCAGTCTTAAGGTCTGTGTTGATGTTAATGATGGTCAGGTGGGCCTGAATTCCCACAGGGAGGAGTGTATAATGAGGCATGTCCAACCCACACCCCCCACATCCGACCCTTCCCATCATGGCCTGAACTAGTTTTTCAGGTTAACTAGGGAATGCCCTTGGCCCACAGGAGGGGTCCACTTAGGTGGTTGGGGGGCTTAGAATTTTATTTTTTGGCCAGGTATGGTGACTCACACCTGTAATCCTAGCAATTTGGGAGGCTGAGGCAGGTGGATTGCTTGAGTTCAGGGGTTTGAGACTAGCCTGGGCAACATGGCAAAACCCCAGCTCTACAAAAAATACAAAGATTAGCCAGGTGTGGTGGCACATGCTTATGGTACCAACTACTCAGGGGCTAAGGTGGGAGGATCACTGGAGCCATGGAAGTCAAGGCTGCAACGAGCTGAGTTGGCACCACTGCACTCCAGCCTGGGTAACAGAGCAAGACCCTGTCTCAATAAACAAACAAACAAACAAATAAATAAACAAATAAGAATTTGAGGTCCGGGTGCAGTGGCTTGTGCCTGTGAGCCTACCACTTTGGGGGGCCGAGGCGGGCAGATCACCTGAGGTCAGGTGTTAGAGACCAGCCTGGCCAACATGGCGAAACCCGGCTAATATAAAAATTATATTAACCCAATTAATATAAAAATTAACCAGGCGGCCGGGCACAGTGGCTCACGCCTGTAATCCCAGCACTTTGGGATGCCGAGGCAGGCGGATCACGAGGTCAGGAGATCCAGACCATCCTGGCTAACATGGTGAAACCCCAACTCTACTAAAAACACAAAAAAATTAGCAGGGCGTGGTGGCGGGCGCCTGTAGTCCCTTCTACTCGGAAGGCTGAGGCAGGAGAATGGCTTTAACCCAGGAGGCAGAGCTTGCAGTGAGCTGAGATCGCGCCACTGCACTCCAGCCTGGGTGACACAGCAAGACTCCGTCTCAAAAAAAAAAAAAAAAATTAACCGGGCATGGTGGCGCGCACCTGTGGTCCCAGAGGGAGGCTGAGGCAGGATAACTGTTTGAACCCAGGAGGCGGAGGTTGCAGTGACCCAAGATGGCATCACCGCACTCCAACCTGGGCGACAGAGCGAGACTCTGTCTCAAAAAAAAAAAGAATTTTGGTTTTGGTTTACACCACTCAAAAGTGCAGAAATTCCAAAACAAGCCGGCCAGGGCACAGTGGAGGACAGACTCTGGCTCTTCAATCTGCCCACACCCCACCCTGTGAAAGGAAAATAAATCTCAAAACCCCACAATCACTAAGTCAAAGGAAAAAGTCAAGTTGGGAACTGCTTCAGGCAAATCGGCCTCCCATCTTATTTCCAAATAAGATAGTTACAAATATATATTTTTAAAGCTACACACCTCCCTCACAATTTGCCCACAGAGAAATTCCCAGTGGGCCTCAAGATCTTTACCCTAAAACAGTTTTGTTGAATTCCACCCTGGCAATGCAAATTGATAGCTTCCCTTCACAGATGCGGGACAAAGGACTGAACTCAAAGTCATTCCTCTGCTCACCTGGACAAATGCATTTCTGATCGCTTCCTTTGTTCTATCGTTTATGTAGAAATGCAGATTCAATGAGCCAGACTAAAGCATAAGCGACTATTCCCCTACCTGCGTCTCACACGTGTAAGAAATTGCGTAGTCAGTGAAAGGCTGATCAAAGACTCAAAAGAATTCACCCTCCGGCCTCTTCTGTACCTGTGACCTGGAAGCCCTCTCCTGGAATTGTCCTGCCTTTCTGGACCGAACCAAGGTACACTTGCAAGTGTTGATTGATGTCTCACGTCTCCCTAAAATGTACAAAACCAAGCTGCACCCCATCTTCCCTGGGCACCATCGTCATGACCTCCTAGGGCTGTGACAATGGCGTGTCCTTAACCTTGGAAAAATAAACTTTTTACATTTCATTGAGTCCTGTCTCAGATACTTTTGGGGTCATAGCCCCCACCCTCACCCCCACCCGCGGAGAGAGCGGGCCGCTCCCCAGCCTCTCCCCGGCTCCACGCAGGAGACGCCCCTCTCCGATATGGCACGCGCGGCGGCACTCTAGCAGCCAGGCGACTTCTCTATGGGCTTTCTCGGCACAGGCCGGAAGTGGCGCGCGCTGCCCCGGAAGCACCCTGGTGGGTGGGTGCCTGCCAGT